ACATTTTTATAGACCTTGTAAACAAATTACTTAAGTATGCAATACATACCTATAACTTTGTAAAACTTAAAAATAATCTACTATTCAGCGATTAACATAAACATTTTATATTAAATCAAATTTATTCTAATTTTTAATTATCGTATAAAACTAATTAAATGTACTCATAAACAAGAGTCGGATAAGACAAATTATTTCTTTTTTAATGTTAGAATAGATTATAGCGCTATCTTATATTTGAGTACTTTAAATTTAAACGTTTTAGAATTTCTTTGTTTAACGTTTTTAATATTTAAACGTTATTACGTTTTAATGTTACTATATTTATTTTTTTTGTTTAGAAGAGGATTGAATATTACGCGTCCGATAATTCCTCGTATCAGCATATCTTAAAAACTGTACATAAGGTACGCCATTTAGTGCTTTAAACATTATAGGCCGACATGCATACCCTTTCCCCCCAACGCGCAGCATCAGTTGGTTAAGGGCACTGCATCCCAAAAGTTTTATTATTCATTCCTTTTAATTAGGGTTCGGGACTTTACGCATTTATTAAGTTTATTTTAGTCATTTATCGATGATAACAGATTTTCATAATACTAATCAACATACATTAATTAGGGTTTTAGTTAGGGGCCGTGGAGGAATCACTCTACCGAAAACAAAAGAAGTTTCTATGGTACTGTATAGTCCTATGATAAATGTTCATGAAATTTATTGTCTCTGAAATGGTTCAAACAAATATTTTAAAAGTATTAAGTCCCGAACCCTATTGATAATATTTAGAGAATTTTCCATAATAGACAAGCCATATTATATTTACGTTGTAACACATTGAATCCATTTATTTCTAATGATAAAATTCGTAGAAATAATTTGAACACATTATATGCTTAATTATATTATTTTGGAGTTATAAAATAAAATCGTCCAGTTAACTAAAACTATAAAAATAACTTTTTCACTAGTGCTCATTCGAAAAACGATGAAAAATTACTTGAAAATGTAAACTAATTAAGCTAGAAGAAGCTTCTTTTAATATTTCTAGAAACAGTCTAAGCTCCTTTTTTCACGCACTAGTTTGAGCAAACACTAAATTGTATCCTTCATTCTTTTATTATACGGTGGTACTTAACGGATTTCACGAAATTACTTTGGACGCGGTCTTATCAGACTTGGGCATTTTATTTTCAGACCTGGTCGACAATACTAAACCTTTCTATTTAATTGTCATTTTGTAATAATCATTTCCTCTTTAATTTACTGAATATTTTGCCATGCTGTATGCATAACCAACTAAATTTCCTACTGCTAACTAAATTTTTTTTTCTATAAATCAAACCTTATCTTTACTTTAGTCCCAAGTTGTTAGGTGTTCGGTAATACCCAACTCTCCCCTAAGAGATTTTCTACGTTTATTGACGTCACATATTTTTGGTAGATTGGTTACGTTTTGGCAAAATTATTCGTTTTAAACGATATTCATAAAGTTTTCTACTCTGCTAATAAAGCATCATATTTTTGTACTACTAGTATATATTTGATCAACGATTAGAAAAATAAGAGTCTAATAATGAGCAATTTATCCGTGTCATCTGTTATTTTCGCACGTTAAATATTCCACATTTTATTTAGTCGTTAAAAAAGATGTCTTTACTTAAGAGTTTACTTAGAAATAAACTCATCGAAGCACGTGCACAAAAAAAAAAAAAAA